TACTTGAATTTATGCGAACCTCTAGTTCTAGTTTCTTTTGCAAGTGTTAGCCTAGATTTATCAGTTTCAATAATGTCATGTGTTATCTTGAACATAGTTGTTAATCTTGCCTCCTTACGCCGGACACACAAAGGTTCCCATCGTAGATGGTGCATCATTGAGGTGACACTTGAAGTGTATTTATAGTCTCCAACACAGAATCTTGCTGCACGTCTTTGTACGCGTTCCAATTTGTCAATGTCACATTTATAATGAGGATCCCATATGGTACATCCATACTCCAACTTTGGTCGAACCAGAGACCTATACAGGGTACACTTGACATCTCGATTACAAAACCAAAAATTTCTCTTAATCAAGTTCAGCACTAGTGTAGCTTTGGATGTAATTTCTTGAATGTGGTAGTTCCATCGTAACTTGTTGTCTAATGTGACTCCCAAGTAAGGATGCACATCAACATACTTCAGAACTGATCCACAGAAAAYATATTCTTTGTGAGGTGGAGATTTTTGTAAGGATATGCTCATAATGAAGCATTTATCTGGGTTAAACTCCATCTGCCACATATTTTGCCATACTTCAAGGTGGAAAAGATCAGACTGTAAATTATCCATGTCGTCATTACTTGATAGAGGAATATAAATAAGACAGTCATCTGCACATAGTCTAACTTGGCATCTGAGATGTTCAACAATGTCATTTACGTACAATAAAAACAATAGCGGACCTAAAACGGTTCCCTGAGGCACACCTGATTTTACTTGCTTGGGTGATGAAGAAACACCTTCACACACTACAACTTGAGTTCTATTAGTTAGAAAATCTCTTATCCAGGAATTGAGGGGRCCATCAACACCGTAATGCAATTTCATAAGCAACCTTTCATGTGGTACTTTATCGAATGCTTTAGAAAAATCCAAGATGRCCAGATGAGTTGTTTTCCCCTTATTAATTGCATCAGCAAGATCTTGGGTGGTGGTAAGTAGCTGTGTCTCAGTTGATCYTTTCTTACGAAACCCATGCTGATTGTCCACAAGTATGTTGTTCTTTTCAAAAAATTTCATCATGTGGCTATGGACRATGTGCTCCAGTACTTTACAAACGATACATGTCAAGGATATAGGTCGATAGTTTTGACACTCATCTTTCTTTCCCTTTTTGTGGACTCCACTTACATTCGCTGTTTTCCATTTTAATGGTAATGCAGACTGATCCAGTGAGGACTGGAAGAGATCGGTAAGAATGGGTGCAATTTCTGATGCCAGAGTCTTTAAAATC